AATTACCACAGCAATTGAAACAATAAGAAACAAAAGGTGTTTACTTTTTTGGCTGATTAAACGGATATGGTCCTCGGTTGGGAACCACAAATGGCTCCACCAACAACTCCTGCTTGACTTCTTTAGGGTCTTCTTCATCGTGTTTCCGTTTCTTACTGGAAGACGCTGTCTCAGGAAAAGTTATCCTACCGGCAGAAAAAAAAAGAGGTTAGAAGTTACTATCATAATACTTTTCGGTAAGTTATAATTTTTAAAGTTAAACTAGAATGAGGAGGAATTTTTGGGGAAAATGCATTATACCTTTTTAAAATTCTTTGAAGCAAGAACACAGAGAAACTAAACTTGGGCGACCATTCGTGTCAAACTTTAACAGTTCAAGACGCTACTTAAGCGCAAACATATGAACTAGAAATGTAAAATGAGGACAGACGAAGGGTCTTACTTGAAAGGTGGGACACGTTCTGCAGGATCGTCAGTAGAACACTGAAAATAAAGTAACGCAAGAATGTTTTGTTTAGTTTTTACAATGAAGCGTTGTGCAGAATGGTAGAAAAGACTATCACAGTTCAAAACTGCACAGACGTACCTTGACTGTATATTGGGGAAAGCAAGATTTGAGGTGCTCAAAGTCAAGAAATGTGTCGTTGAAATTCAGTTGTCGGATCTGGTTTGGCATTCTGTGTGAAACAAGTATTGAAAAGAAAGTTATTTGATCTGCCAAATTGATCTGCCTTCCTCTTTCGTTGGCGCAAAGCTCGTGTCATCTTCTGAGCCAATTGAAAAACGACCGTCATCGTGATTCGGTTGTACGCGTTTTTTCCCGCGCTTTCTCAATGATGAGGTTACGTATATTTGCATTGTGTTTCCATTGGCTCGTTAAATTTTCTCCCTCTCTTATGATTGGCCGCTATTACCTGGCTTAAAATGGTTTTTCTGCGCTCAATTCAACACTGAAGAGTTATTGCCACTGCTCGTAGAAACCAAACACTAAGTCCAAAAGCGCGAGAGGAACACAACCAGTAAAATGACTTCATGTGATATTAATGTACCTGCTGTAATGAGCTGCACCAGGATCGTCATATCCTAGGAAGATATCGTGGAGCCAGTCTGGTACAATACATTCTGTGTTCATTAAATCACGGATGGTCTCCAAAACAGCCTGCAGGAAACGACGTTCAAGAATGTATTTGTTGGTAAAGATGTGGCAAAGCACATGAATATACACGTAAGTCAATCTCGTCAAACCTTTCAACGGAACAGTTCACGTAGGTCACAAACAAAATGAAAAACAAAAAGATTTGACCTTAAGCATTCCATTAACTTAATTTTTTTTTAAATGAGGCATTTCTCGTAGAATGGTAAACGTCAAAGGGCATCGGAGGTACAGTAGTTAAATTCCTCTTCTGGTTAAGAGTTGGGTAAGTTTGAAATTGAAACTCACCTTCGCTAAAGTACATATACTCTCTTTCACAGAAACTAACAATGTGTCCTCCTAAATTTCAAACCAAATTTTCGACAAAACTATCATGGAAAACGCATATGTTCAAGACTCAAACTTCGAGTCAATACGAATTTATGGCTAAGACTACGTCATGAAAAAAAATGGAATGATCAATTGTTAGGGCAGGAGAAACGATGAAGGCGAATTTCTCACTTGTAACACCAGGGAAAAGGTGAAAACCACTACGGAACTTAGAATGTTAATCAACATCTACCTTAAAGTTGTTTTCTTTCGGTTTCCGTCTCAAAAGAATGTTAAAAGTTTCATATACATCCTGAAATAACACAAAGTGGTAAAAAGAAAAAACTCAGAATGATAAGTATCAAACAGTTACATTACATTGTCAACCTATCAAAATTACTTTTGTTACATGACGCTATCGACATTGCTGATCCTATCAGCATGTAGGATGCATGTCTTATATAACTTCGTAATGTGCCCAGCTCACCAGTCTTTGTGGCTAAGTGGCTGAGCATTGGAGCGCTGAATCTGAAGGTCTGAGATTCGATTCTTTATGGGGACTCAGAATTTTTCCTTGTCCCACGCTCGCGACAAGACGAAAAACATCTTTCTCTATTTCTTAACCGAGCTCTTACCATCTTTCTCATTCTCTTAACTGCTACTGTCTTAAGATTGTTTCAAAGCGGAGGGCCTTACGACTGAATGTCTTGACACCAATCACAAGAGCCAATTAGGAAAAAATGAACATCAAAAGGACCTAAAAGAAATTTGCCCTGTACACTAAAACGCGCGCAAATTGCTATTTTGTATGCTGCTTAATCGTTTGAGAAGCGCAAGTTTTCTAAAGAAACCACAAAGATTGAGGCGTAAACCCAACAAAATCCCGGAATACTTGAGACAATCAATTGAAAATTGCTCTCATCATATGGCGAACCAATTACTAGACAAAAACGGCAGAATCTCGAGACGAAAGACATGAGTTTGCCTTCTGAGAGACCAAAGGATTGTTACCTCAGCGCCATGGACAGTCTCCGCCAT